TTCAATCTGTCTTGATTAGTGCAGGAACAAACAAAAGAACAATATAATAATACAAAAAAAATAGACATGAAGAAAACATTTTTTTTGAACAGCCAGCCGAAGCTTCCTCTTCACCTACCTACAACTAGCGCAGCTTCCACATATCTTTTAAAAAAAATCAAACATTCGCTTTTCAAATATGGAATATATTCGCCAGGGCGCCGAAGCTTTTATCAGTTATGTACATAAAACTAAGTGATGATCATTATTTGCTACAACTATTACATTGAACTATCAACTAGTTATGTGACGTCACGTTGTTTGTAATAACAGAACAGTATTCAGAGTTTCGCAACATGCCGCGACACTTACAAGAGACTCAGTAGGGTGCGATAATGGTAGCCGAACGTTGCGTAATGTTCTTGACCACTACTGATAACTGATACGTATTTACTATTTATTGGAACTTTTTCAATGCGAACAATCACTAACTAAATGAGGTCGTGCTCTTGAATCCATCGGACATCACCCGGCTTTTTGATAAGTCGGACTTAATTTACTGAACCAAGTAACTATTTTGAAAAGCAATGCTCGATTAGTAAAATAGTTTAACTGTCCTGTAATAACGTCAAATGTTTATTGTACACTGGCCTAAACAAGACAAAGTTAAGGTCAATATCATTAAGCGACATTATAGTGATATGTTTGTAAGCCATTAGTACTGTTATCATTCCTGCTCCGCGTGAACTGAGTCAGGATGTAATATGATGTGAGAATTGCTAAAGTTATCAGCTCAGCGTTACTTTAAGATATTGTTTGAAGGCATGTGCAGGTGGTGTCTTTGGAGTTGTGGTGGCAAGTGCGCGCTAGTGACATGTGTTACCTTTGTGGTCTGTGCTGTAGAGGGCGCGGGCGCCGCACTGCGCGCCGAGGCTGCTGCGGGCCAGCCGTAACGATACACGGAATACGCTGCACACCACCATTACTGCCAGTTCACTGAAACTAAAATCGGTCGGTCAACGTCAATAACTTCGTAGATTTGCAGCCTTGCTGCTTGGAGCACTAGAAGTATTTAGAACTTGTGAACACATCACCTACTTTTTTTTGCAGTATCAGTGCTCTATTTCATCATCTTCATCACTACCTACAACATCTACATTATGCTCAATTTGCAAGAGAAAGAGTTGTCTGTTTCTCCTACAAACGGTTCCTCAGAACGTTTTGATATCAGTTACTTCATGAGCGTCAGCCTCTCCCCCATTATACCATTAAAAGATTCTTCAGAATGAGTATAAGCCTACATACTTTCATCATTACCTATTTTCACACTTTATTTACACTTCAATAATTAGAAGTACATTTCAAATTTTATTTTTAAATAGTAAAAATACAAGAATATTTTTTTGACACTCACATGGCATATATTTTTTTATTACAATTTTAATGAAATTCAAAGTAAAATATATTTCCATTTTAGACACTTTTATAAAGATCTTTAATATAAAAAATGTTTCCTTAATAATACTGTTATTATTTTGGAACACAGCTTACCGAAATCGTGGAGGAGAAGTGTAGTGTCGTACGCGCAGGTCGGCGCGTCGTGCAGCAGTGCGGGTCGGCGCGTGCGCAGAGTACTAGTGTTATCACTTTACTTCGTACATACAAACAGAAGTTCCACTTAGGTGCCGACAAATATTACAAGTAATTACAATACAAACATGAATTAGCATAATAATATCTTACGTCATTACAAATGGACCTCTGAGCACAATGACTGGGTTTTGATCCCCAGCTCGAGCCAATATTGTCATTTGAAAACTTATAACACACGGATATGTCACTACAAATCGCTGAACAATTGGCACAATCCAAACCAAATCAACATAGCAACTCTTTTGGTGACTTCGGCCGGGGTTGCGGGGTAATCGCAGTGAGACACCGCGAGCTCGGCCCAGAGCAGGAGAAGGAACAGGGGGTTTTTAGTCAGTAAGAGTCTGAAACTTCCTCCGGCCCGACCCTGGGCAGAAGAGAAGTCATTTAATGATTTTCCCCTCACAAAAAAAAACTCTTCTGGTGACTGACCGAGTGTTAATTTAGGTATTAGTTACAGGTATTGGTTAATTTAAGTATTATTAGGTACCTACAGTACAACCAAGACTATAATTACTAATTAGAAATTAAGATATTTTTTAGGTCTTTATGACTATTTGTGACTAACACAAAAACAATAATATTATTATGTACGTTATTCTGCAATGACCCTCTTTAGGGTGTCGCCAAGCATTCAGGGTGGCAAAAAATAAGTCAGAATTAACGTGTACCTAATGTCCTTATCTTTGCCGACCATATTCGAGAATAAAATGTTTTATGAAGTTACAATTTTCCAATAAAACAAAACTCCTATCAGGATTAGGTATGTATGGGTATGTATAAACGTGCATGACATTTTTTCAGCAATAGTTAAATACTTATTTGTTTTGAATGACCAACGAAGTATATGGTAAGTGTCATCTAGACGGTAATGTTTAGTATCTCGGTAGTGACTCTAAATGTTTTATTATGTACCTATATTACATCTCGGAGTCAAGTGACACAGATGTCTTTGACAATGTGTCGTCCTCGAGAGATAACTGTTATCAGTATGACGACACCCTGCTGGGGGTCGCGGCGTGTGTATCTCGACGCACCAACATCATTTGTAAGTAGTGTCATGTAATCATATAATGAATTTGTCAGAAAAATATTATGTAACGTCACAATTTTCAATATAATTTTTTTAAAGCATAAGAAGTCAAGTCAAAGTCAGTGACAAAATCATTTATTTCAATTAGGCCACTTTTGAACGACAATCAAAAAAAGAAAATATATTTCAAGCGTGGGTTTAACGTGTCAGTCTGTCCGTCTGTCCTCTAGTGAAGCTATTTGCTCGTTCCAAAGTGTAGATTCCGATAGAGAACGAGCAAGAAACTCCATGGTTAGTCTTTTTCAATCCTTTTCTTTGTGATTTTGAATTTCAACTGGTATTTTGTTATAACATTTAACACAAAATCCCAGACTCTAAGACTCTGCTTATAACTATGTGCAAGTTATAATATGGCACCCATATTTGGTCAACTATATTATTGTGCGATTAACATGAGAAGAGGCAAGAATATTTTCCAGTCCAAACAATATTACATGAAACAAAACAAAGGAACTTAGTTTTAAGTTGTTTGCATTTAACATCAAATCTAATACCGGCTGGTGGACAATATTTATCATCTCGCGGCTGACTAGGCAGTACACATTTTTAACCATATGCAATTTACGTACCTACAACTTTCATGTTGACCAGACTAATTTTTTTATGTTATAAGGCATCAATGTTCCTGACAGATTACCTGATGGTAAGCAATCGGCTCCGTCCATGGACGCACGACAGCAATAGAAAAGTTGCATATGCTTTGCCAGCTTTTTGGCGATAAGGGGTAAAGGGTTATATGTGACTGATTGGGAAAGGATAGCGGGAGGGGAAGGATTGGGTCTTGCAAAAGCATTGGGCATTACTCCGGTCAAACCGGCCCGTCATTATTGACAAATAAAGCGTGGCACTCTCACAATAAAGTATATTGTTGGGTGATTATGCACGTCGAGCGATTTTCCATCACAGCAATCAATTAAGACCAGAGTGCACTTAAATTTTCTACCGAACGTGCCAATGTGAGAATATCTTAAGAAATAATATAATAACATTTTTACTTCTAAAAGCCTTTCGGTACCACTAAGTGTTTACTCTCACAACTTCAAGATCAACTAATAAGTTAAGATGAACTTATTATAAAGTTTTGTACAGTATACCATGCTGTACAAAGTAGACACAGTTATGAAAGTATGTCCGAAAATATAACTAGGTATGTACATATAATATGTAGGTAGCTTTCCCTGGATCTTTCATAAATTGACGGCAACAATGACTTGTTCTCGTCTCAGTCATCATTACATAGATAGTTATATAGATAGTAGTCACCCCTAATTATTTCCAGAAAGTCTAAATCTTTACTATACATTTCATTTACTTTTCTGGGTAACATCGCGTAAAACTTGGAGTGCAATGGGAGTAAAGAGGATATTAATGTGTGAAATCTGTTCGATGGAGTTCTAGGTTCCTAAGCGAAACGTAAAAGGAAGTCACTGAAGGAAGCAGGAAGATGGTACTAGAGCATTATCCAGGTCAGGGCTGATGTCCAGCCAGGGTTGCGGGGTAAGCGCAATGAGGCACCGCGGCGTCGGCCTAGGTCAGGAGAAGGAACGAACGAGTTTCTAATGAGTAAGAAACTGACAGCATGATCCATGTCCACATAATAAGCAGTTCACGCCAATTAATTGACTATTCAACGAACATGAAGAAAGTAGCTTACCAACAACTCGTCACATAGGAAAGTAAGGAACTAAATTCATTAAAAAATAACACAATATGTTAATCTTAATTTAAACCGTTTATTGAACTATGTTTTTTGCATTCTAAAGCGTAACAAAGCGAAACTATTGAAGATAACAGAGAGTTTACTCTAACTTAATAGGCACGAGATAATTTCAATGTTTGTGTGTTGTTTGTTGTTTTAGCGTCTCTGGTATCTACATCTGACGGCTGAGCAATGGCAGTAAATGCGTATCGGTACGAAATTGCAGCGTATAAGTAGCCGTACTACTAATGGCACGACGATAATTCTCTATGAAACTAGTTAATGAGTGGATTGTACATTACGTGAATTCTTCAATTGAATATTATAGGTATCTCAATATACGAACTAAGTATGACTTATTTAAAAAATACAAACACAAGAAAAATGTAACAATATAATTATTTACTATGGGAGAAGGCAGCGCCATGGACTTGTTTGACATTTTAAGTAAGTAATAACAATTCTTGAAGAAATATATGTAAAGGTTTGTACTATGGTGATGAACTAGCTCTTTAGTGAACATAAACACCGTGATAAACACGAGCGATTAAATTGTAATATAGTGTGATATATCGCTAAAATTAATATTATATCGAGCTCTTATCATGGCAAATATTATTACAAAGAGGGGCGTCCTTCTCCCCTATATTCGATTAACAGACAATGTGTTTAAATGTAAGTAGATACATAGCCTAGTCTAACGTGGTTACTTATTACAACCTACCAGCATTCTGAGACTCTTTTATGATCAAGCGCATAGTAAACATTACCTACAGTTAGCGTTACAAGTGGCCTGGATCTGGTCCCAACACAAAATTCAAAAGAATGTTTTATTTTTATATTTATTTAGTTTTCATTAAAAGATTTAACAGCAGCTCAAATATTGTATCTATACATATTGAAGTGAATGTATTGTAGAGCTGCGTATGAGTTGTGTGTGATCACAAGTAGCAGGGCACAGCCATCGACGTGCTGAAGATGGCTCCGAAGGCACTGATGGAAGCCGCTACGCCTCCCACGATGCCCAGCGCTATCACCTCGTAGCACACCATCTTCATCCAGCCGGGCGACTCGCTGCCATCACAATGTAAACATTATTACTCACGGGAATAACACTTTTGTTATTAGTGCATTATTAATTAAGCAGTACATTTAAAAATTTATAGAAAAATGAAATAATTTAATACATAGGTATACTTAATGTATGAGTGGAAATATTTTTTTTTTCCCGGATAGTTACAGCTTTGGCTTAGGTAATGATACTTACATGGGTGTTTGTCCCTCAGGGACGGGCTGGTTCACAAGCTGGAGGTAGCAGACAGAGGGCAGAATGTAGGTGAGTAGGGCGATGGTGGTGGCACCAATCAGAGCCAGGAGGGTGTAGAACCGAGGGATACTCTCGCCAATGAAGAGCAGCGCCAGCATTATAGACACGCGCACCGCCATACGCCAACCAACGGAATCTGACAAATCAATTACATCAATTATATTTCATTATGAAAACTTCGGCTTCATTGTAAGTGAGATGCCATTCTCAAATATTAATTAATCATGATCATTCGCTATAAACTCTCTACGAACCTCTGGGCACACTGTACAGTTCCTCGACCTCCTGGCAGACGGGGTTGATGATGATGATGAACGCGGCCAACAAGTGGATAGCCATCAGCACGTTAGCGGCCAGCGTCAACGGGGTGGCCGCCATGGAGAGCGCCACGTTGGGCAGCACTCGCTCGCCAAACACCGCATAACCACCGATGGCGATCAGCAGGTACAGGATGAGCACAGCTAGAGGTAGCACCAATAACAGACTCATTAATTTACAACCAACTAATAAATGTATCAAAATACTAAAATGCTTTAATTGGGTAGTTTCCTAGGTCAAAAATAAATTAATCCGATGTTTCAATACAATAAAATATTGAAAAATAACTATACTTTTATTCATCGGTCGATCGATACACCAAGTTTCAGATTTTTTTTAGGTAATTAATGTGAAATAAGTATGCTATTTGACGCAAAAATGTTATGACGTCATAGCTCAGTTTTTAATACAAATTTCATAGAAAAGTATCGTTCTTGACGTTTGGATAAAAGTATTGAATTTGACTAGTTGGAAACTACCGTATTATATTAGGTATAATAAAGTATAGCTTTTCAACTATAAACTTACCAAGGAAACCGTACTGCAAACTCTTTCCAAACTTGCTTTTGTCTGCCATGTCGTTCTGTATGGTGGGGAATGTGGACGCTCCTCCGAACGCGAACATAAGTGTTCCCATTGCCAGGAAGAAGTCCATGAATCCGTGGATACCATAACGGAAGGTGTATGGTGAAGCCTCGTTCATCATCTCAATGAAGTACAGGATACACGCGACCACCGAGGAGCCGAAGGCAAGAAGACCCATCAAACTGGAATATTTTGTATTATTTTTAACAACATGTCGACACAAATACATTCATTAGTATGTCTCACGATAGTTATTATAAAAACAAATACATTCGTTTAAAATTGTTTTTTAAGGTCAAATAATATTTTTTCAAAATCATAATTAATACTTACTGGAAATCTTTAGGCGTTCCGAAGAACAGCAGTGGTGTCATGGCGCCGACGACAATGAGGTACCAGGTGCAGATGGTGAGGGAAGGCACGAGGGAGAGGAGTACCGCCTCGATGATTTGAGCCGCCAGCAGCAGGTACACCACAGAGGCACCGAACAGGGTCACGATCATCGCCATCGATACAACCACACTAATAAACAATGTATAAAGATGAACATACTGGTAAATTAACCTATGCTAGCTGTCTAGAGAGATCGCAAGATCATGTACTACTACTACTTGCAAGTAAATAGAAAACAGTTGATTACCTCCAGGCCTTGCCGAGCGACTGTTCTGCGATAATCGCGTAAGGGTTCCTCTTGCGGGTCCTCATCTCTGGGTCACGAGCCTCCAGTATAGACCAGCAGTCACCCAACCTCTTGCCACTGAATGCGGCCATCAAGCACACCAGTATGATGATTGGAACACCAACCCATCCTGCAATCACAAACATTTGCAATTACATACTAATTCTACTACATAATATTTCGTAAACATCTCAATTCTAGAAAATTATGAAACAGTAAAATAATGTAAATACTACTATGACAAAAAAAGTTTTCTTAGTATGATAATGGTTTATTACACAAGTAAGATGTTTCAGGTCTTATAGGATAAAATCACCCTTAACTTTGTCATACACAGATTAATAATTAAATTATATATTGTTGAAATGTAGGACATTGACCTAACACAATGTTCATAAATAGGTACAATCATGGAACCTTACAGACATGTTGTTTTAATAACGCTACACAAGGTCAGATGTGTAACACGAATCAAATATCTAATTATACCAACGTTTTGGTCGAACGATGGAAAAATGCACAAAAAGTAGTAGAACCAGTTTGTTAATTGGACGAGTATATGGCTAGGCAGTGGGCAACATTTGTGGCCGGTGACCACAGACGAACGGCGGGACCGTGGCCATCTACTGATAGGGACGGAGACGTGACAAATTTGAAATACAATACGCTCTTAAAGGCCGCTTGAAATCATTTGATATCATTTTATTCGTATTACTCTTTTCTGTTTTTTACAGCTCAGTGAATAAAATGAACTAATGTGACTATAATTACATTGTCAATATCGAGCCTATCTCATTGACTGACGAGCAAAAACTCAACTGCTGGAATAATTATTTATTAATTTACTAATTGAAAAGTAATGATGGTGCAGTGTCAATAAAGGGGGTAACGCCTCGTTGGTAACGTGTTGTCGACGGTTTTGAGCAAAGCATAAAACTGATATTATGAAATTGACATCATAATATGTTTACCATGCCGTAGGCGTGTAGGACGGACGGACGGTAAGCCGACCGATATTAGGTATGCAAGTTTAATTATGCATCGAGTTTGTTAATGTCGGAATCATCAATTGTAGCAAGCAAATACATGGCTTGTGGAACACATAGACAATGGAAATAGATCATTTCCACTATATTTCAAGCAAGATCAATCTTAAGTCACGTGGCAGGAGATACCTACAAATATCTGAGGTGAAACCTTGAACTGGTCACTTATCTGGTATGCTGATGATCTTAACATTTGCATTGATAACATATTTATGCAGACATAAAATACAATATTCCACTTGGACGTCTGAAAATATATTTATATGGAAATATCGCTCGAGATAGTTACCAAGGTCAATCTAATTTATACAACCTGATATTGTTTTTTTGTTGACCATCGAGACGGACATCTGTGGAGCTTAATATTCAATAACTAATTTGTTTGTTTAAAATATTTTTATTGTTTTTTTTTATTAGTTTGCTGTTGAAATTAGATTAACCGGCCAAGTTAGAAAGCAGCAGGTAATGAAGAACATCCGCGTTGTCACTACTTTTCGATTTTGAAAAAGGTGTATCAAATGACTCCTTGATAAAAGTTCAATGCCAGCTTTCTTTTCAATTATATTTTTGCTATACACACTGTGAGATTTAAGTTTACTAGGCGGCAGAACGTGTCATAAACATTAAACCGAGAGAATCTTAACAAATTCATTCAACCTAAAAAACAAAACCAGGCTTTCAACCACATACCGCCGTTATCAGAAGGATTGGAAATATCCAATGGACCCAAACTTGATTTGTTTACGAGAAGGCAGCCCAAGGTTCTACCTTTAAAATTTCGTTATCGAACGAGCTATTAAGGATCCATCTTAATAGTTTAAAATACATAATTACTATAACATTTCATGATGATATAACAAGATATATTTGTGTAAATCAGATTTTCCAATCGGCAATCGATCGGGTGGTAAGTGATCCGATTCTACTACGTCAGTACAGTACTTACATATATTAATCTATGGATTCTACGATTTTGAGCCTCGATTTTATGGCTTTGTTTTTAAAGATAATATTAAGTTCATTAGCTAAAACTTGATAAGATAGATATAGATCGCACCTGTTAGAAGTGATCTGTCAAGTTTTCTAACAGATTTCTAATAATATAAAATACGTGGTGGGGACAGATCTCATCGGTATCGGGTTTCCTTTGCAAATTATGCAAATATAATGTAATCTTATCAGATGATCTGAGTGATGGTTGTTGATAGCGGACAAAAGACGCTGATCGTTGGCCGGACGCAAATCTCACACGTAGGTACACTCTCAACTCAAGCATAGACTATACTAGACATCTGTATTAATTATCTAGGTTTCTAACTGTTTTCCATATGGACAAAGGAAATAATAGGTGTATTGTAATAAATATAAATTTATATTTAGTTACAATTAAGCATTATTTTCGATTTTCTTGGTGATTTCCCCCTATAATAATTTAATAGCAGATAATACCTTTAGCTTTCAGTCCACCTTCATGGTTATGTAAATAAGGTTATTTTTAAATAAATAAACAAACATATTAAAGCAGTCAGTGTAGGTACTACAGACTTCACATAATATGGTAGGTAGGAACTTTGTAATCTCGAAAACAGTAGAATAACTGTAACTTACAAATCTTTAGTTCTTAAAGATTTCGAAATCAAAAAGAATTTGAATCAATATTTAAGTTTTATAGAATAAGTACTAGCAGTCGCCCGCGGCTCCGCAAGCGTGGATGTCGATTTTACACTTTTTCAAGATTTTTGTCCTTCTCTGGGCTTCCACAAATTATTCAAGACCAAAATTAGCCTAAGGGATTGTTGACATATAACATTACAACGAAAATTAGCATTGATTTTTATGTATATAGATTGCACATAAAGTATCCATTTTCCGGAGAGTCGGCTGTACGTTACTAGGGGCAAAAAAGCTGCTTTTTCTTGCAGGTGGCCGTGTACAAACCTAATGTAAATTGACATGAAAATATGTATGATACGTATTAAAGTTTTTATAGATTCCTATATTGATGTGCAGTTGGGACGTCAGAAGTGTTTCCGGTTGTGAGTTATCTACGTTTTTGACGCACAGACAGCTCTGAATATATTTATTAGTCTATTTCGAAATATATTTGAATTTTTTATATATTGTTTGGCATTGGATTCACACGTCATAAGTGTTCTTTTAATATTTTTAATATAAATGTAATATGCACAATACTGTTTAGACCAATTTTAATTAGTTCGATTGCGTCAAACGACATACCAAACATGTCATAGATACTAAATAGGTTTCCAGAATTAAATAAATTACTTAAGTTACGGACGTAATAGATGTCTTTGACAAATGTGTATTTGATTTACGAATGGAACTTCTAAGGAATATGCATGTGTAAGTAGTTTTAATTTTAAACATCCTTTAGTTCGGTCGGATCATAAGAGTAAGTGAACAGAAAAAGTTCCTGTGTTTGCAGATATGTATATTTGTATGGAGTATTTATGTAGATTTACCGCCTTGACGAAAATCTATATAAATATACAAAGAAATTCTCTTAGTACCTATAAGTAATCCACGAATTTGTGACAAAAACCATTTTATAAAATTCATTAGATAATGTATGGAAATTTTGTCAGTTTACAAAACGAGATCTCTCAAACTTGTGTGGGTAGGTACCTAAACTAGTTTTGTTACATAAAGTTAATCGTAAAAATAATATTATACTGCCTTGAGTATACTGGGTGACAAAAACTTAGATTCAAACGTCGAAATGGAATGTGAGGCACCGCGCCACGACGCGACATGTGCTTATTTTAATTATATTAATAATTGAATATAACATATATTATACTAGTAGCCTGCCCCTGATCCGTACGGGTGTTCAATACCTAACCGCTAACGACACTAATGAGCCCCTTTATTTATCTATAAAACAATTCTTACATAAGAACCTTCTTCTTGTAATAATAAACAGGGTCCAGGCGTTCTTGAGTTATGCGCTTACCAACACATTTTTATATATAGCTTATAAAAAAATGTGTGATTTAATTGACAGATAAGTACATGCCAAGTGCTTACAAATATAGCGATGCAGGAATATAACAGACGCCTACGCCCCGCGTAATGCAATTTAAAAAGTTTTTTAATGACACCATCACCTTAATATTAAGTTTGTCGTTAAAAACTGGTACTATCCAATAACAGGTTCATTAATCAAGTCAATTAAAACTTAATTGAATTACGGCTATATTAGGCTACGAAAAAACTAATTAGCTACTTATATTTTAGTTGAACTAAGCGAATAAGAACGCCAAAAATTTATCATGGGTCATTCCATGGCTCTGCCATATTAAATTTATAAATAGATATATATAAAATATTTCTTATATTTCATCTCATGGTTAATCATAATATGTTGCGCTACTTCTGTAGTAAGCAAGTAAGTGAAAATCTTGGTTTGGATATACTTAGGTATATCAGCGCTTGGGACTTGTATCTAAACCTTTTAAGTTCTACAGATAGACACATTAATATTACAAACGGTGTGTTTGTCCCCAAAACAATATTATACTGCACCTTTAGAACTACAGTACAACATAAAGGTAAGTATAGTTGTACTGTACATGCATACTGTAGTACTTAGTTATTTAGTAGTTCTGACTAGCATAGCCTTAGTTTGTTTCATGTTCTGATAACTTAGTGAACTTAAGTACAACAATAAAATCTGTGTGTCAGCAGTGGATAATTTCCTTAGATCTGCTTCCTATTTGCGCTGAGCATCATTTAACTTAGAAACAGGGAATATGAAAGTAGCAAATTTAAAGAGATTGGCCTGTTTTAAGTACAGCCTATAACGTTTTGTAATAACCTAGTTGTCAATGAATAAATCTAACCAGAAATGTCAACCGTCTTTGCGTACTTATCTACAAAAGTATAATAAAGACGTAAGACGTAACATACTTATAAAGGCAATATTGTATGAAATGTTATTTGTACACATTCGTTAGGATGTTACACAGGGCTTGATTAAGTCACGATAATCGCTTTTGCCACCAACATCATCATAGCTATTGTTCAGGTTCAGCTTAGGTAAGACTAAATAAAAAGGTACAAAGACTGCGCCAGCAAACTTTACAACGCTTAGCAAGATCCAAAACATTGGTTACATCGAAATCTTACCGGTCTTGACGAGGGCCCGTGGCAGTGCCAGCACACCGCTCCCAGCCATCTCTCCAGCAATCAAGATGGAAGTCTGGTGCATGGTGAGACCTGGACGCTCCCCATCTCCATCCTGGCATAAACACAAAAACTCAACATTATAAACAAAAATATTAACCTCTGGATCATTTTAATTTGTTATCTTTGCATTCCATACGGGAGATCCCCGTTATCTTTTTTAAATGATAGGTATTAAAATGATAAAATGATGATAGAAACAAGGCGTCTTTATTCTTCTATCAAAAACTCTGCCCCAAAAAACTGTATCCAGTAACTATTGCGCAATAGTTTGTTAATATAATCGACATTTGATGGTGGGCCGAGCGACGAACGTATTTAGTTATAAGCGGCCACAGTGTTAGGTACACTATAAATACAATATGTATTGTAGAATTTGTAGATATAGATATGGAGATCTGACGCGAGAATATCTAATAGGATTATATATTTTAATAATAGAAATCTGTTAGCTTTTAATTTAAATGTCAAATTAATAAATTAAGCGACTGAAACTATAATGGATGAATTTTAATTTTTTATCTTTATTGTTTTGCTAATGTTGCATCTGTTATTTTTATTTAATGCCCCATAAGATTTTGTGTCAGTTTACTTTATTTCAGTAAATTATTGAGGTTATCTACTTAAGACAGGTTTCAAAACAAGTTACGGTTACATTGCGCAATCAGATGAGTTCACAATACTTCCCAACATAGAAATGTTATCAAATCAGGTATTTTTGATATGAATATCAATAGGGAGGTAGTAGTATCCAATAATAAAACTAATATTAAGCATCAGGATATAGGTAACTGATTAATTAAGAGCGATTCATTAATTTGGACGCGAATTAGCAAGCTACCAGTTGAGTTCTAATAGGTATATCCTTGCCTAAGCGTCTATCAATAATATTTTTTCAGTCAAAACATAGAACTTATTCTAACAAAAATACGATACAAGTGCCATAACTAACAAATACAAGCTGTATTTTATAAAACATGTCACATGTATAAGACTACTTAAAACAGATGAAAACTCATATCAGAGCTAAGGATTTCCTAAACAAACAAACGCAACCAGAAATAGGCGCAACTGTTGATTAGGCTTCTTTGTCTGTATGTATAACTAGTTAAACGTAAATAGTTTAGATATTATTGTTTACTGAGAGCACTGCACTAGATACAGATTCATTCGGATCTTGAAGCTCGTACTACTAGTAAAGCGACATCTAACCAACATTATGCTTTTGTGTACAAAAAATGTACTACGTTAAAAAGTTCATTAAAAAAAATCGTTTCTAAGGGAAACCTGTAAAGAAGTTATAGTGACGCATGTGACTTAATGAATGGTGCCCTTCCACGGATCTGTTACACATGGAGTTGGCCCTTCAATGAATGACCTCGCATGAAGCAACACAAACAACAACTCGTAATAAAGCTCACCTTCTTGCCCACCAGCGGAGTGGTCTCCGTCACATTGTCGCTGCTGGCGCTCGCCTTCGGCTTCGATTCCAATACTTTCTTCGACATTTTCTACAACAAATTATTTAAAATATATTTAAAAAACCACTGCCTTAACCGGAGCCACCCACACGTATCTATGTCTACTAGATCTCTGCCGGGTACCTACAGGAACCGGTTATACCAAAATAATTCCCAACGACGATATCTTTTCAATTGAACAGAGTAAAAGGGACGATTTGTTCAATTAGGTGTGGGTCAGATATCCTGTGTGTCAATAAGCTGGTCACAAGTGGCCAGTGGCTCGTATGGCGCCGTCTCGTACGGCTTCTACTCACTGTGGTGTCGCGGCTCTCGCACGACCGGCTGACGCGACTGTGTCCACTGAACTGTTGCTAGCTACCAATAGTACCAACTAGTCAGGTAACTTGAAATATTTCTGTGGCGAGCCTGCTCTAAATGTGAACTTTATTAGTTTCGCGTTAGAGGTCATTATAGGCACCGTTGTCTAATGGCTGATGCCTCGCTTTTGAATGTAAAGGTGATTATGTTTCGGTAATTCGTTGTTTGACTGGTGAGACTGATGTGGAAGACCATTATAGATTGCTCAATAATTGAAATATTTGATCATATTCATTTAAATATTAGTATTTTTATAATTTCGACTAAGTAGTTAAGATAAGGAATTTTAAAAAGACTTCCAAGTTCGTTAAGAACAATTTGAATTAATTCAATTAGGAAAGTTAATTACACACTAATTTGTTTATTCCGTAGGTTACTCACAAAATTGATGAAGGTGTGAAAAGAGAAGATGCTGGAAGCGAATAAATTAGATATGACAAGGTCGTAGTAGGTATTACATTATATTATTATTTTCTTTCCAGTATAGCCTGTACCTGTAAGACGAAGAAATACCTTTATACATACCTACCTATCTAAGTATGAAAAATATTGGTTAGCATTTTTTATTCCAGATAACCTGGTTCCTTTGGACTAGGCATATAGCATATTTTAGGACATGATGTAGTTCGTTCTGTATATAAGTGTTTCTATGTTGAAGTAAATAGGTGAGCCTCGCAACTGTAAACCTTAAACCCATTTAGGCTTTATGGCGACTTTGTATGTGTCCACCATTCCACAAATATATCTGCGACTACTAGCCAGAAAAGCTTTTGTTAGAATTATTAACACTCTCTTCTTTGTTTTACTGTGTCCACATGTTCCTATAGGTCACGTAATCCTTCGATCTACGTGCAGTAATTGATTTTTAATTTGTCTTTCATGTAAAATTCAATTGTTTTATATCATTTATTATTTTTTTTACATTTGCCAACCCATTGTTCTATCATATTCAAATGAAATTTTCTCAAAGTTTGTAACAAGTTTTTTTAACTATCAAAACACGCGGTTGACAACATTTGTGTGTTGTTTGTTGATAGTGTACTTTCATTTGATGTTTATGAAGTATACAACTGGTCTCAGTTCTGAGCCTTGGGAGACTGACTTCAGTCTAGTCTTGTGCAGTGCTCTCTGTACTTGTTCTTCTGTGGAATGTCAAATAGACTACGCTCTTTGATCTGTAACTAAGCTAACTAGTTTAGTGACTAACACGTATTACGACCGTTACAACCTATGGATCATAATATCATCAAATCCATAAACTGCTGATTTGCTGAGCACCATCACACCTCGTTTTATTTTTTTTATTTAGTAGGTCGGCAAACGAGCAGACGGATTACCTGATGGTAAGCAATCAGCGCCGCTCATGGACACTCGCAACGGAGGAGTTACGAGTGCGTTGCCGACCTTTAAGGGATTAGGGATTTGGAGATTTAGGGATTTAGGAGGGATTGGGGGAGGTTCCCCTCCCCCAATCCCTCCTAGGCCTCCGGTAACCTCACTCACACGGCGTCTGTTTTTAATGGCGACCTGGTCAATTAGACGGGGCTTAAAAGTTTAATAAAATGATGATGTACAACATTTGCTAGTGTTTATTTTTCAGGCGCTCACATTTGTACGTAGTTCAAAGAAACCTGAAACTGCGCCGATGGTCAGTTATCACCACAAATGTTATCACACCCTGGATAGCTTAACAAGGGACTCTTAAGTAGACACCGGGGATTAAATCTTGTTTTCGATGTGAAGTTTGTTTAAGAATACCTAAAATGTTTGGTCGTTTCGTTTTAGAATAAAACGCCTATTCATGTTTACCTTCACTATTCAGTAGTTAATAGATACCATGCAATTTGGTTCAGGACCTTAGGAAAGTTAGAAGTCTACTGAAAGGAAATGCACTTCGTCAGTGTACATCTATATAAGAATACACTCTGTGACAGCGGTTACAGTAAAATTCTTTAACTGATAGATAGCTACAATTTTACTGAGTAGTATAGGCTATAAAGCATCACGCTACGATCAAATGGAGCCATGCGGGTGAAACCGCGTGAGGGTAGCTAGTTTGAGATAAAAATTAAGTACGCAAGTTGTAAGAGCTATTTCTGGTGAGTTTAGCGGATTATGGATAATTTCCAACCTTAGGTCTGTTTCAAGTCTGCTTAGTAGTAGTAAGTATAATAAGGTCGCGTGTTGTCGTGCTGGAGCAATGGTGCCAAATAATGGACTGAAACCAGTTGGGGACTTGCGATTTCATGATTGCCACGTAAACGGTTTATAATATTAGGTCTTTACCTAATGCAATTTTTTATGAACTAAATAAAGCGCATTTTTTTCTCTATATTTTATTAGTATTAATCGAAGTAACCACCCATACAAATAATGAATCTTCGCAAACGCTAGCGTTAGTTTATTACTGCCATTCTTGAAACAATTAGGTATCTAGCGGGTAGCGGCATATTGTTCTTCAGAAGCTTTAAAAGTTGGTACTGCCAAGGACCTTTCCAAAATCTGTAAGAAGGAAAAGATTGTGTCAGTTCTGATGAGTACGGCGAACATACAAGCCCAGCTCTTATAGCTTGGAGACCGTCTTCTTTGCAGTATGTGGTCCCGCGTAGTGCGTTTCGTGCAGAAGCAGAGAAGCTGAACGATGAACTAAATCTATACGGAGGCTTACGTACCCTGTGGTAAAAAGCTGTGATGAATTACACTCACTTTAGACCACAAAACAAGGACCATCACCTTCCTATAAGTAAGTTTTCGTTTAGGGCATTGTTTGGATGATGAACCATTGTCCAATCACCTTGCTGAGTGGCCATGATTGCCGAACATGATCTATTTCTAATCAGAAGTTAGCAGAGTTCGCTGGCACCCATTTATCAACCTGTTTTTAGCTTGCCAATTTGCCGCAAATGGACCAACATTTTTTTACTGCTAACGTCTAAAGCACTTAGTAATCAGCATCCATAATCGCCTTCAATTCGGCAGTTTCGTCGCATAATTGAGAACAAAACTATTACATAAACAATGATGTATAAAACTATAGATACGTTGTCCGCGCTATAAAATGACAACATGAAATGAAGGCAATTGACAACATCGCGCTTAGTTACGCACCAACCTGCCGCGCGACGCTACGTTTGTTTTTAATTTATATCGTGTGTGAAACCTGTGCGAAACATAAAGAAAGCATGTCGTCGTGTGTGTTCAGACGATGTACAAATTATACTCCAAAAGTTAAAGACAAAAATGTGTAATTTCATGCGTAAGTTCACCAAACAACCTATTTTTATTTTATTTTTTTCGACGCCGGCGCCCGCCATCTTATGGCGGCCGGCGAATGAAGGTATAGTCACGTGCCATCGGCATAACGGAAGATGTATATTTATCTCCCTCTAGCAAAGTCATTCCACTATACGATGTCATATTTGCTTTCCCTTTCTTTACTCGTAGAAGTAGTTATCTAGTATTTTCGCCGTTTTTAAGCGCCGCGATGTTGGTTCATGACGTGTCTATATATAATACGTCATTGTACATAAATGATAAATTTAGAAAAAAGAATTCCACGTTTTGACATAAAATCAATATGGAATTAGAATCGGTTAACAGTTAAAAAGTGGTGATTTGAAATAGCCTACCAACGGCAGGATAGCAATTTCATTATTAGGCCCTATCATTTTTATATATACGAGCTTAGTAATTAACCACAATTTGCCTTTTAAACAAAATAAGAAAAAAAAACCAACTCGCTAAGAATTTAGAGAGTACGGCCCTGTTGCTGCACTAGTGACATCTAGAGAGATGTTACTAGGGCAGGTAAGTACACTCTTGTGAAATAGTGAAACAACTTCAATGTCAAATCTACAGAACGAAGTAATATTATGCTTTAACTGATGAATGGCAAATAAAAAAATGGGCGGAGTCAAACACCCCCTTACCCCGCAAAAATTTTGTAAAGCGTTGTTTCTCAGGGAAATCTGATTACAACTACAACACCTCCTCTTTGTAAATACTGGGCTCCGTGGGTGGTTGACTAAAAAAGGAGCCAAAGATTTATAATGTTTTAAGGTCATTAATTTTATTTTCTTATTATAAGCTGCTCCTTGCTGACAATGTTTTTTTTATTTTTATTGTATGATAAATTAAACTAAAGCGGAGTCCTCCTCACTGGCTTTTTTTATTCCTGTGTATATTATAGCGAAATGGTTCCAGTCTGGTAGGGCAGTATTTGTTTCGTGCTTGACTTGAAGAAGTTATAAAGTTCTGTTTACTAGTGAATGCGTTTAATTAAACAATTATATTTTTTTCCTTACTTACACAATATACTACAACAAATAAACGATTTCAGTAATAAAATAACAGTAGTTAATTACATCGAGAGTATCAAACATAAACGGACGTAAACAGCGTTAAACGGAACGTACGACTAAATTCGTCCCCATAGACAATATAAACCGAACAATTTATATTGTCGTTCTTACCTTGGAAAACGATAAATAGGTGTGACTTTTAATATTTGTTTCGTCATAATTAAATTAATGTAATGCAAAATAAAATGTCATTATTAAATTTTGCTTTTGCTTGATTTCTGCCTGGTTGAGAAAAGATTTTTATCGGCTTACTAACTGTTTTTCGTAAAAAATTTGGTCATAGAAAGATTATTACACAATAACAGAAAACACTCTTTGTGTTTTACTCAAAATCGTCGCATTAAAGTTAATAAATTCATCACAACTCCAAAGGTAATTTTGCTTGTTTATCCTACTTTGTATTTAATACGGCTAGTTAAAGTTTGAAGTTATTGAACTCTAGAGAAAATTACACAGTTTTGTTATGCTAAAGCACTAGCAAAGAATTGTGCTTTGCATATTATGTCTTGACTTTGCATAATGTGTCATCCTAATCGGTATACATTATTTATAGGTAAATTTAACCAATTTCTTTTATTTATATACTCATATTTATATTTGTTGCGAGTTATGAGAACTCTGCTTATCATAATAAGGTAGGATAAAGGAACTTTTGACTTAGCATATTTATTGTAACTACATTCATGCAATAAGACTTAATTTTTAGAGCAAATCAGCATTTAGGGTGTTATTTATCCTCATAATGTTTTGTTTGTAAACGTTATCTGCTTGCCTAAATTATGTTAAAAATCAGCTTCAATTTTGGTTGCTTTAAATCAGATTGTATTGTCAATTTAGAAGATTGACTCACACATGCCTGTAAAGTTGCTAGAAGGATGATTTTTCTATAGCATAACAACTAGAATATATTGTAATATGTAGTTTTAACAGTTATCATTTGACGGTCATGTCTAAATTTTAAAGGAAGTCTCTGGGCATCAAGCTAACCATTCATGTTAGATTAAAGTATAATTTTTGCTACTACAGATTAGATCTATACACATCATTATTCCTTTTCATTTGGTACATAATTTACAAAACATACAAGACTGCTTGCTGCTTTTTGACAATATTTTCATTTAAAATCCTGGCCCATATTTATAGATGAACATATTAGATATATGTAGAAGTATGAATGGTTAATAGATACCAACCAACACATGATAATATATAAAGTGTTCAGTCTTGTTGGAACACTGCAATTGTACACTGTCAAATGTAATGATAAATGAATGCTGAATTTCCTTGATAAGAGGCATGAACAGCTGTAAGTGATATCTCTGCAGTATATAGGCCATCACTTCGCAAACAGTGATGCGCTTATTGAAAACGTGTTTGTGTGTATCTGCATTAGTCAGCTGCAATAATTTTATTTCATTATAATCAGACCTGATACTATACTGTAACATTCATATGCTGTGCTTGAGCATAATCATAATAATATCATTTGCTTTGCGATGGTCTCATTTTATGTTACTTTGACATTTGAGTAATGCTTTTCTAATAAGGAGAGTCTTACTATATCAACTTATGCTTACTATATGTACTATATGTGCTTAGGATATGTACTTAAATGCTAAGATAATTTGATAAATTTTATTTGAGAAATTTGTATTGTCCTAGCATAAAACACAAATATTCAATTTGATTATTATTTTATACTTGTGCTTCCTCCCGGGGTTTCCAAAGGCCGGTTGCATGAGTCTCATACTAAAAAAAATACAATTATTAAAATATTGCTCCTTAAATGAGTACAATGTACCTACTTCTATAAACCACTGTTTTCCCTTTATTATTTTGAAACAGGATTTGCCCATTATTTTATACACATATTTGAATGCTTTTGCGAATGTCTCATATTCATTTACTACATTATCAAGTTAATGTTAAGTATAGAAAAAAATATTAATGTGTAGCTAATGTCATAATACTTAAAAACGATTGCAAATTGTTATAAAAAATAAAGTGTTTTGTTTTAGGAATGATATGAGAAGATGATTGATTCAACATAAACACAACAAGGTAATTATTAATTGTATTCATAATATTATTGTGAATGATACATATCTGCTGTGTTTAAACGTTTGTAAGTTTATGTGGTTTTTGTGACACAGGACTGCAATACAAGGCAAATCATCAAAATGATGACATCAGAAGAATCAGACTCCCAGAGCACCATTATATCGGAGACCCACAATGAGGATGTCTCAGGTGAGCTATTTCCAACTAATTAGTCAATTTATGATCACTGTATACTGCATATTTATGCTTTTTCTAGAATGTAATTGAATGGTACTTTATTATAATAAGGTATGGGTATGATCTCTTGATCATACCATATAACATTGAGTCAATCTTATTTACCATTTCATCATAATCATATTGGTGTGTATATTTATATTTTTTACTGAATTAAACAAAATGGCATAACCAAAATTATGAAATAAATTAAAATTTACAAATTAAAATTTACAAATTAAAGCCTACCGATGTATCGAGGGAAGCCAAATCTCACCAATCTGATATATGTTTTTCAAGAGCCAGATGTACCCTGTTAAAGGTGGTCACTAGCTATTTAACAATAATTAAATCAAAAGGTTCAGAGTTTCAAATAAAATTTCTGTTTGATACAAATAAACAACATATTTAGGGCCATTTTCACAAAGTCTGGATAGCTTTAGCGCACCAGATCAATTTGAAAATAGAATGTAATTTGTATAAACTATGCATTGCAGCAGCATGTAACACATTTATCTGTAATCGTGTCACGGATTGGATTTATGGCTTTGTCTGACAAAGATTGAACATGTTATAATACAGTAGTCTAATGTGGCTCGGAGAGTACTATAGTCTGAATCTTGAATATCAAAGTTAAGTTTACTGTATAGTTGGGACTATTAATACCTTTTTCAATTTATGATTTTGCATACTCACCTTGCTACTTATTATTTCTTGACTACAAATTATAGTAATTTAAAGACATAATTTTTATAATTCTATAAGAATTATGTCATGTAAGTCTATCAAATTTAATATAATATTCTTTTGATATTATTTATTTGGACAAAATGCAATACCTGTTCAAAATGTAATTTTCATGAAATAATACCATAAGTATCTTTCTGTAGATCACCTGCATAGTCTGTACTAAATTGTGTGTCGCGCATGCGAGTTGACATAACCCGTTAGATGTGTGGTTGAAAAATCCTTTGCCCTCAATGTAGTCAACGTGGTAAATCGTCGATACATGCCCTTTAAATTACAGTGATAATTTTTTATCCATAAAAAAGTACAAAGTTTCCTGTAACTGCCATTGCTAGAAATTTTTACCTTTTATGTGTACTTTTTCTTACATCATAGAAGGGGACTGTTACGGGGCTTTGGTAATATGGAAATTTATTCTTAAATTCTGGGCCAATGAACAGCTTCAGAATTCTGGGCCAATGAACAGCTTCAGTTTGGATGAAAATATAATTTTTGAGGAGTAAAATATTCTAAATATATTTTCTTCTCACCTCGTTGCTGATTTAAGTAGCGCTACTGAATTATGGTACTATGCTAGTTATGTTATGTTTGTATACAAATCATTGTAAAAGTTAGCGCATTTAATAATGTTTCTAAATTGGCTATACCACTCACTACATTATACCTAAAATTAACTTTCTTAAACTATATCTAGTAATTTGATGTAATTCTAGTATCGGGCACTGAAGACGCACCGTCGTCCATGGTGTCCGAAAGCGAAGCGGAGTCTGAAGGCAGCGTGCTGTCAGAGGCGCGGCACGAAGCTGAGCCGTTTACGTTCTTCAGTGACGCCAGCAATGAGCTGGTCGGCTCGGTACACGAGAAGCCGACACAGCCAGTCACTGATTTTAGATCTGTATCCAACTCCGTCGGTGTCGCTGCTTACGTAGCTTCAAGAGGTCAGTATTTCATATATTTTAACTATCGATGGTTTTATTCTCGTGACTGATTAAAAATTGTATATTTGACAGGCTCTATGTTGCCGTGGGGAGGACATAAGGGGCCAGTGCCGCCCGCTGACTCCGACCTCCGCCCTGGCGAATTTGTTATGAGGCTGCTCTTCACAGAGTTTACAGTACAAGCTGAAAGGAAGATGGAAGCTGTTATGGCTGAACCTCTGGTACACAAATTATACATTACTAAATTATTTGAGTGATAAACCAAACCAAGGTTGCTTTTGTTTATTACCATATGAATTTCACACAGGAAAAGCCGCTAGCCAAAACTCTGCAACGCGGTGAAGATCCACAACTAGACCAGATACTGCTGGCGTTTGGCACAGTCGCTGAACATTGTCTGCCTTCCTTACTGCGCGCACTTTTTGGGTGGCTAGAGAGGCAGATGGCTGATTCACCTCAACTCAGTGAGCAAGCGAAGAAACCCCACCAAGACCTTAGAAATAAAAGGTAACACTTTAGGGACTAATGCTTCATTAACACTGCACTTTTTTAACTACAGAAGTTGTTCTCACACTGATTTCTTTGCTGGTAGTATTATTTACATAGTGTCGGGCAGCGGCGCCGGCACGGAGACCGTGGAACGAAGCAGTGAGGAGCTGCAAGCGGAACGACGGGACCTGGCTGTGGAGTTCCTGTTCTGTCTCGCGCTCATTGAAGTACTAAAACAACTGCCGTTCCACCCCGGACACGAAGATCTCGTTCAATATATTGAGAACGTGGCCTTCAAACGATTCAACTACAAAGAAGGGTAAGTAACTGTACTACGAAAAATATAGGTTAAGTAAATAAAAATCTCTATGAATTTTATTGGAAAGGTGTTTTTGCAGTGAAAACACTTTCCTGTAAGTAATAATGTGACGACAATGAAAGCACATTTTTATACAATGTCATGAATTACTGTCCAGATGGCTTCTCGAGTATATTTTCTTGTTTAACTAACAATCTTCACAAACATTGCTCTAATCTTTTGAACTTTTCTTTTCAATTTGATCAATCTTTCAAGGAACTTTGTATATAATAATATAACACACACCTAACATACCTTCTGTTTTATGTGCAGGCTGCAGTCAAACCCGAACGCAGCTAACGTCCACTTGATAGCAGACCTGTACGCGGAGGTGGTAGCGGTGCTAGCGCAGTCCCGCTTCGCATCTGTCAAGAAGCGCTTCACAGCTGAACTAAAAGTAAACTACTCTTCTAGCTTTTGCATGCACTTACAGACACGAAGGAATTTGATATAATTAACAACAGTAATATATTCTTCGGCTAGAATTATGAGAATACTTAGAATGAGCTACGTTTAATTTTCACAGGAACTGAAAAGCCGTGAACCATCGCCGCATACGACGCAAAGCATCATCTCGTTGCTGATGGGTATGAAGTTCTTTCGCGTCAAGATGGTGCCCATCGAGGAGTTCGAAGCCTCGTTCCAGTTCCTGCAGGAGTGCGCACACTACTTCCTGGAGGTCAAAGACAAAGATATACGACACGCACTGGCTGGACTCTTCGTCGAGATTCTAGTACCGGTGGCCGCAGTAAGTACTCTTTCTTATGTCATTTTGTACATATTTATGAAGTTTCTTTGAGTTTATTCATGAATTTATTAGGTTCAATAACTGAAAACAATCTTTTTACAAACAGACCGTCAAGAACGAAGTAAATGTTCCCTGCCTGAAGAACTTTGTGGAAATGCTGTACAGCCACACCTTGGATACTAGCACTAAGTCCAAACACCGGCTGGCTCTGTTCCCTCTCGTCACCTGCCTCCTGTGTGTGTCGCAAAAACAGTTCTTCCTTGCCAACTGGCATTGCTTCCTGGCCATGTGCCTGTCACACCTGAAGAACAGAGACCCCAAGATGTGTAGAGTAGCTTTAGGTAAGACGCGACTACTTGTAATGTATTTAACTACAGCACATTTTCCGCTTAGTTGATCTTAATAACGTCAATGCTATTATTCTTCACAGAGTCCTTGTACCGGTTGCTGTGGGTTTACATGATACGCATCAAGTGCGAGAGTAACTCAGCTACGCAGTCGAGGCTGCAGAGTATCGTCAACTCACTATTCCCCAAAGGCTCTAAGGGTGTGGTACCCCGCGACATGCCGCTCAATATATTTGTTAAGATAATCCAGTTTATTGCACAAGAGCGGCTTGATTTTGCTATGCGAGAGATTGTTTTCGATCTCCTGATGGTCGGAAGGCCGATTAAAATTATACTGACCCCAGAGAGAATGTCTATTGGTCTCAGGGCATTCTTAGTAGTGGCGGACAGTTTGCAGCAGAAAGAAGGAGAGCCTCCGATGCCTCGGACTTCTGGGACGCTGCCCTCGGGGAACACTCTACGTGTAAAGAAAACTTTCTTGAATAAAATGCTGACTGACGAGACGGCACGCTCCATTGGTATGAGTCCCTACTTCCCTTACGTGAGGCGGGTACTGGTCGAAATATTGCGGGCACTCGATGCACACTACGGCAGACCTCTTATGCTCACGAATACACAGAATGTGACTAAAGAACAAGAGATTAACACGGGAGAGAGGAAGCCGCGGATTGATCTCTTCCGGACATGCGTTGCAGCCATACCAAGGTAATTTATATTTGAACTCACACCTCGCCTGCTGTATTCCGCGTTCTTCTCAAAAGATAAAAGTCAATAATCATTTATTTCATTACACCCTTACAGGCACTTTTGAACGTGTTCTGTGTCCTAGTCTAATGACGCCATTTTATTATAATTTCGTTTTTTACAATTAGTACAAATAATTAGTTTTAAAATTTAACATTTGCCGTTGCAGACTGATTCCCGAAGGTATGAGCTCAAGTGAGTTAGTGGATTTGTTGAGCCGGCTGACGGTACATATGGATGAAGAGCTACGGGGGCTCTCCTTTCAAAGTCTGCAGACTCTTATTGTAGACTTCCCTGAGTGGCGCCAGGATGTTCTCGCTGGGTTCACTCAGTTCCTAGCCAAAGAAGTTCAGGTAATATACTAATAGCCATGTTATCATTACAAGAATGTACTCGTGACATATGGAAGTATAATAACCTCGTTTACTGTTATTCAGGACACGTCTCCGCAACTAGTAGAGAACGGGCTCCGTATGCTACTGCAGCTACTGACAAGCTGGAAGAATGGTGAGCCGACAGCCGGCAGCGTGCCCACTAAGCAGGAGCCCCTTGCGTCTGTGATCCGCGGGGCGGAAGCGCTAGGGCTGGTAATGCTGTGCCAGTGTAAAGCGTACCCACGCCGCCTTGCCGTGCATGTGCTCAGGTTTGTATCTGTTGGCTTATGTGGGAGCTGTTAACACATATCAGTTGTTCATGTCTTGTGTGATTTGTTCAGGGAGGCTAAATACTTGTTGGAGAAGCTGCAACTGACCCGCGATGAGCCGGCTCTCATAGATGCCGCGGACGCGCACACAGCGCTCCTCGCCGAGAAATGTCTACCGCTTCTCCCACAGGCGGAGAAGACAGCCATCGCACTGGCTGGTCAGGTCGACCTCATCTGGCTTGCAGAAAGGACCCATGCAGTTTGGACGTCTGGTTAGTACCGTCATAACTGTTCTAGTTGCTCAACTGCGTAACATTGTGTAACGTTCCCATCACACCTTGCAAACGACCGGATAACCTTGAAGACCTGAACCGATTTCTTAAAAACACGCTCGCCTGGTATACCTTTCTAACAAAAAAACACATTAAAATCAGTTCATCCGTTTGAGAGCTAAGGTGCCACAGACAGACATACACACACAGACACGTAAAACTTATATAAAAATGTTTTCACTAATGAATTACTAGTTATTTGATATCATTACGGCTGGTTTCCAGGCATTCAACACGACGAGACTTCCAGCAAGAATAGTTGGAGTGGCAGCGCATCCAATGGCGCCGACCCTTGGGAGGTAATATTATATTGATAATTTTGAACCTTTATACATTCTATCGACAAAATTCTCAACACTACCACAGACTTTCTGACAGATTTAGGGACAAAACTAATGTTAATCAAACTCATTATTGAGTAAATGTGTGTATAACCGTGACTTGTTGTATTGCAAGGTGGTGCTGTTTGGGTTACTGACGCGTAGCCGCGTGCCTGCGCGCTGCCCATCCACCATCTTACAAGCCTGGCCAATACTTCACGCCAGGATTCACGCACTCTTCACTATCATCGAGCCAGCGTGAGTACATTATGTCTGTTCCCTACAATTTTCTCCTGTGTCGTGTTTGCTTTTATAAAGCTAAAAATTCTCATGTGCGAAGCACACCTAGAACATGGCATCAAACAAGATGTTCTACAAGGAGATCAGAGCCATGCGTTGTTGTTAATTCTTTGCTAAATAAAGCTAAATGTTTTACTGTATGGAAATGATTGAAAAATAATGTGTATAACATTTCAGGCCAGTGAATGACAATAGAGCTTCTCTCTTGTCCCGAGGACCTGCTCTGCCGAGGAAGCCTGAGAAAGAACGCGACGGCTACATGCAAGTACGTGACTATCTGTATAATACCCTCGATGATCAATATGATCGACCGAGTCGTCGACACTCATTCGCCCGATTCTTTAAGTTTACGTTGATCTTAATTCACATTGAAGCAAATTGGCTACTTAACTTAGTTCTTTGAATTTTGTACAAGTCACGTGTGCTATGTTTTACGTCGAACAGATGTGAAATTGAATTGAAAGTCAAATAATATTTGCACGTCAAATACTTATTTTACTTGAGTTAATGGATAAAAATACGAATATTAAGTTTATAGGGTATCTAATGAAGTAAGTGCATAATATTTTTATCATTGTTGAAAAATAAAGATGTCTGCTGAGGTAAGAACTACCATAAAAGCCAAACTTTTCATCTGAATGTAATCGCGTGTGACTTTCAGGTATGGAAGTACTACATGACGATGGCGTACCTGGTGGTGCCGGCGGTGCCGAGCCCCGTCATCCGCTGCGCCAGCCCGGACCTCAGCCTCAGGTACACTCACAGCCATCATAACGGCCCACACGGCCTTCTCAGAGGCTCGGCCCTCTCGAGCCACTAGCATGGAGTAATGCCGTACGAACATGCCGCAATGTCCTTAGCAAATTGGCTTCATATCTTCAAATTTATTTTCAAAATATTATAATTGGCATTCAACTTTATATATTACGATGTATTTATATATGTGCAGATATTTAGTTTTGGATTGTCTTCATTTTATATTGATATATCGATGTTCTTTAGTTTTGTAGCTGACATCGCCGATCTTATGTAAACAGATTGCGACGATTGCGCAGGCCGATTCAAACCTTATCTATGATACTAAGGCAACATCACTAAATACAAAAATAAAACATTTAAAGGTTATATGTAAACTGTTATGTAGTTCAGTAATCATTTTTTTCTTAGTGGAAGATTGATTTGCTCGTATTTCAAATATGTTACTTAAGCATGGAACAATAAACAGAAATCCAGTAAAATATAATCTAACTGATTCGCAATATTTTGTTGAGGCTCTTAATCGGCCTGCAGCTGGTGCATGCAGCCCAGTTACTTCAAATGTGTGTAAATTATTTGGCGTTGAACAAAATACTACACATATGTAGGTATACATTTTTCATGCAATTACTTATTACCTGATGATCATTTAATGTTGACTAAAAGTAGAGTATCGTGTGTTTAAATGATGTGTTGTGACAAAAATAGTAGTGTGAGTCGGCGATGTCAGTCAGAGTGCGCGGCCGACCCGCCGCTACTTGCTGAGAATACAAGCTCAGTGGCGGTCCGCGTGCAACAACGGAACCGGTCGCGGTCGGTTGCGCACTAAATCTATTTTCCGAACTACTGAACTTTCTTATAATTTCATTTAACTGGACTTCTCACGTTTTGTTCCTACTTTATTTACTGTTATGCGTTAATTGCAAGAAACAAGGCGGTGAGTGCACCTATTTGTTCAGATAGCGAGATTTATTGTACGCAGTTTTAGCTTGAGAACAGTATATACTATGAAACCACACTACACCATTTTTTACACGATTTACCCTTTCTACCACTTGACAACAATTTTTATATAGCAAGTGCACAAAAACTATAACTATTTAATTGATAATAATTAAGTGGGTTAAGATGGTTTGTGTGAAATAAAATGTTCAAATTGAAATCGGAATAATATCTCCGAGTATGTAGTACAGCTGTAGAGGGTGGGGATGAGGAACTCGTGAGCGTGGTGGCCAGGGAACTATCGGCGTGTGTCTGTCCAGTAGCACTGAGGCGGAGGGCTGGGCCGGCCTGGCCGCGCTGAGCTCGTCCAGCGAGAGCCTCAACGCGCCCGGCGGCTTCTTCACGCTGCCCTTGAGCTATGCGCGAGCGCACAGACAACACAAACGAACGAGGTGGTCATTGACGCTCGCTATGTGCACGACGCATTCGATCCCATCATTACCTGGCCGTGCCGGTTCCACCTCGCACCTCCCAATCTGCGCCAAGTTATCATTGTTTAATATATAGAATTAGTTGATGGCAAACATATTGCCTATGGCTTATGATCAGGGTGGAATCGACATGCGCCTTACATTTTACTCATGGTGGGTAACCCAGTGCAGTGCAAAGGACTGCCGACGTCATCGCTCATCAATCACGCCTAGGTCAGAGCACAGCTAGCGCATCATTCGGCGTGGCGCCTCACCACGGTTGTGTGTTAATAACTTGTTGGGCACGTGCGCGATGTACACACGACACACCACCATACATGCGTATATAACATCTAGCCTTATGTTTTATGTTTCGTATTGACTACTTGTGAATACACGTAACTGCAGAGTCGATGGAGCGAATAGATTAGACGCATATGATGCTTATGAGATCCAGAGTGTGTTATGTTAACATAGCTCTTAGATATATGAGCACTTGTAATAAACGAACGATTTATTTGATCCCGCAATAATGCATACAGCTTACTTAACGTTGGGTGGCATTAATTGCCTTTGAGAGTAGACATCTTTAATAGATTTTTTGAAATGCTACATTTAATTTAATGTTAAACTTCAATCTATTACAATATCCTTTTGTACCAATTGTTTAAATATATCATCAAGCATTATATTTATACAAATAACTTTATCAATCACTATAAATATGTACATATATATTATGTTGAGTAGGTACGTGCTAGATATCGACGTCTTACCCTATACACACCTCAGTAACGGATCAGACTCAATCAACAACGCATCTAACTTATAGGTCTTTTGCCATTCCGCGGCACCCAAATGTACCGACAATGTCCGTGACCCCGATGTAAAATGGAGTTCAATAAACTATGTCGACCGATTAACACGAGAAAAAAATCTTTAATGTCAAATAATAAGTTTGCTAAGGTATTTTTGTTTATATATATTTTGGGAGATTTCATTTTCTTATTTCAGTCATTACATACAAATATTTTTGTGTAAAGAGTAAGAACGATAAAAAAATATTTAATGCCGCCGACTTTTTTCTATATCGTCTTTTATTGAGTGAGATGTGTTTTCATTACACACTAATGACGATTTTTGAATGAAATGAAATTCTTATAGGGTATGATGTCGATGATGCTAGATAATGTTGTACCAGCAAAATTACCATGAGGGGTTCTTATCTGAACATACCCGTTCGTATTGTTAAACAGAGAAAAGTGTGGAATTAATCTGTTAGCGCACTAGATACCAAATGTAAGCAAATGTTGATCGCAGTCTTCTTGTACAATACTAGTCTATGGTATCTATGTTATGTTTTTGCGGAATACATTTTATTATCAGCAGATATTTAACCGACCAGTCACTAAAAAGAATTTGATTTAAAGTATCTCTAAAATTATCCTCACGCGCCTGGCACTATTAGATTTAATTCAGTATTTCTGCATATATAAAAGAATAATTAATATCTATCAATATTAAAAAGAAAACAATATACCTACTTCGATGATTTCCTAAAAATAACAATTGAATATTTTCACAAAACTGTATATAAATTCATCAGATTTCGCCGAAAAATTTCGAGATAATATGATTTAGCAAAATGGGTTTGGCGCATCCTCATGGACAAAAACCCCTATTAATGATATATGTATAGAATGAAAAACAAAAGTATTTCTTATTTTGTAGTTTTTCGATTTGTGGTTAAATTAAGTAATCGATTCGGTGCGTATTTTTTCCGTTTTTGTTATTTATTTATCCGAAGAGATAATATACTTGTATTTTTTGGCTCGACAGTGCACTCTTCCTATCTGCGTGTCCGGAGACACTGTGGGGGTAATACTGCGTAGCCAATGTAGCGACATCTGTAGGCTGTACCCTATCTCTGTGTCTTTGTGTACTCGTTCTGGTCTACTGTACTTCTGTGTTTACTCGTAATTCTATCTAGTATTGCTAGGAATGCGACCCACTTGAACATATCATTTTTTAAGACGAATTCATATCAAATTTTGATCAGTTCTACTGAAGATGAGTATAAGTAGCCCTAGAATTAGATATTGAAATATCACTTATTATGTATATATTATGACTCTTATCGTCTGAAAGGAACCTGCACATAACCTATAATGTATATCAATTTTACCAGCAGACGCATACGCTATTGTGACAGAATTTTGCTAAACATATTGAATAGCTTATCAACACCACCAATAGATGTCGGATATCACTAACGTTTTACTGTTACTCGGAACATTATTCCCACCAGTGTACATTATCACGTAGATACTCACACTGTCAGTTCCCTACTCATTAGTACATGTGCCTCTTTGTGACTTCTAGTATCTTCGGCATGAGTAGCTGTAGTTCAATATTACTTAATAACATAACTTAAGACCCTGGTCCAAGTAGTGTATATTAGCACTAAATAGTTTCAGTGTATTCCTCTTTTATACATCAATACGTGCATAGTACTCACAATAAGTCACATTACGTATGTGTGCAGTTAACAAGGTCTGTCATTGGGTAAAAATAATAATTTCATAAATCATATATGTGTGTAACATTTGCCTGTAAGCTGCAATCGCAGGCGATTGGGGCAGGGCTCATAGGGCGTGGCTCATTTTGTTCGTGTTAACAGGGATGTGTTAGTCATGTACAGACGCGTGTGTATCATTATTTTGTTGGCATTGGCAGCGCTTGGTTGGTGACGTCCTTATACTTTATGTTAATAACGCTTTCAATATTCGCCCCAGGAATATTTATACCTGCTTTTATTCGTTTTAGAAGTAGATTGTTAAGCTTAACAGACCTTTGTAATATATTGTCAGGTTATACTCTTGTAATAGACTTGTTTGGCGTATTCAATCTTTTTGCAATGTAATAATTGTATTTATTTGACATTTACAAAAGCTAAAGTAATTATACAACTAATAATATATAATGAATTAGAAATTCACTCCATTCGTAAAGAAAAGTAAAAGATTGAATGAGCCAGTAATGGTTAAGTTGAGTGTTTGGTTTGTGTACTGTGTAGCTCGTCGCCCGACTCGCTGAGCGAGCGCAGCGGAGGCGAGGGTCGCGGTTCCCAGGCGGCGCCGGGCTCTCTACACAAGCTGGCGGTGCCGCTGGCGCGTTGCGAGGTCCCCGAGGTGCGAGACGCCGCTGTGGCCGCCTGCGGGAACATCAACCCAGACGCACTCAAGTAATTTCGCAATTCTTCCGCATCTTCTTACCTATCATAGCGTTATGAACGGTTTGCTCACCTGTTCCTATTTGCAGAGATCTGATGGAGGAGCTCCTCCCACTCCTCCGGGAAGCAGTTGACCGTAAACAAGAGAACATGCGCCGGCGCCGACGACGGGATGCACTCCGTCTACATCTGAACAAAATGTTGTTGCTCATTGCTCAAAAGAAAACATTTGCAAATAGGTAAGGTACTAGTGTAATCGAGAGAGGGTCTATGCGTATGTAATTGAATAAAAAAAAATTGTAATCATACCAAGTCATTCTTATAGTCAAAAGTACGATAATTGAAAAAAGGATTTGAATTTCTATTCCTGTTTTAATCCAGTTGTTTAAAAAGTATAATAACTAAAGAGATTTGTTTTGTTTAGCGCGTTTGCCTTGGAAGGCGGCAGCTTGCACCCGACGCTGACAGAATACCTGGACGGCGTGCGGCAGTGCCTCGAAGTGGATGCCGAAAAGGACGCGCCTGCCGCCCGCGAGCAACGCATCACCTTCGCCGATTTCGTCACTGAGCTCATTAAGAGCTTCCCACGTAAGTTCAATTATTAACATATTTGTATTACTCAATAACAAACTGTGCATTTGTCTATAATTCATATCCTATATTGCCTATACTACCTTGGCTTATAGCATTACTATAATCAGTGGTTTCTCACAGTGGAGATGTATGGGTCGCTGATGAAGAAGGAGCTGCAGCGCAATCTGTTCGCCCTGTTCGCGGGGTGGTGCGGCCCGCTCGCCCGTCACCTTGGCAGTCTAGTACCGCAGCCCGCGCAGCTCGAGAACGATGATAGACTCAACCTCTCCGCCCTAAAGGTGAATTTTCAATTTAAATCTTTATAGTTCCCGTTTTAAAGTTGATAATAAAATTACGAGAGACATTATATATAGATGTCACTGGCACATTTTAATACTGTTGCAATTGTCAATATTATTCAATTACATTTATTGGCTTAAATACAATATTCGCCTAAAGAGGAATTTATAACAAAATGATTGTCGTCTGCAGGCTATGAGTGCCGTTGTATGCTGTGGCCGGTGTTTCGACCCGACGGCTCTGGCGGAAGACGGTTCCCTCTATCCTTGGCTCAGAGAGATGCTGTCCTCACCTAACGATAAGGTATGGGTTTATTTATTTAGCACTCCTTATCATTGTCATCATTAGTTAATCTACACATACATCTAGTCTGGAAAAAGTAGGATTGTCAAATCTATAAATCGACTAAAACATGTTAGCTTCCATAGTATTCGATGCAACAATTGGATAGGCTACACATTCTATTATGGAATCGTAAATATGACCCTTCGTCACAACTATTATTAGTACGGTGATTCTTCACATCAATTCAACAAAAATGAATGATGTCATTATCCTCAACCGAAAATTAACGATTCTGCTGATTAAAACACAGATAATAATTGAAAATCGCACCACTGCTTACAAGCAACCGATTAAAAATATTGTATGTAATAAATTACTAAGATGTTTAACAAACTGGGAGAATAGTGACTTCTTAAATAAAAGTTTTTAGGAGAATCACCCAGTAGTTAACTGATTGATAACTCAAATTAAATACCAATTTTTCATGTTAAAATTGAAAGCATGCTTAAAAATTATCATTAAGACAGTATTTTTAAATTATTCAGGTAAACTTATAAGACATTCATGTTCAAGTGTTTGGTTCTAGATATATGAGCTGGCTCGCGAAACAATAGTACTGCTACTTGACTGCAACCCCGATATTGGGCCATTGCTAGACTGGACCGTGGACGCTTGTTTCACCGGGTCTACGCGCGTTGCCGACGGCTGCTTCATGGCACTCGCGACTCTATTCAGCGCACGGTAAGTCTTATTTTGTCGTGCATATATTCAGGACAATAGTATTCCTGGTAATTGATGTGCTTTTCATTAATTTTATGTGTAAGGTTGATATTTGTATAGCAATGGAACCGGAACTATCGCTGATGTTGATTGATATGTACGCTGCGACCGCACGATATATGTTGTAAATGTTGTTCATATCAATGTTAATAGAATGTTGCCATAACTGTTTAAAACAGCATGCCAAGTAGAGCATGAGCTACAGCGAAAGAAATCCCCATCAACCCGTTTGAAACAAATCTGGTCTAGGACAAATTCTTCCACGTTTGAGATTATTGCCGATCGTTTTATGTCGGTATGATTATCATAATTATGCGTTATTTACCGACATTGTTTTGAGAACCCGTGGTCGTGTCCATGCGGTATATTTATTTCAAGACACTTTTGAGGTTCAGGTATTATTAAGAAGATTGACTGTGCAAAAATCTTTCAGCCGATAATAATTTTCTATATTTCCTTATTTTTTAAACTTGTGCTTACATAAAATATAAACAAGGATGTTTCATATAACTACAAAAATGCATAGTAATAAATCAACAACAAATCTTTAATGCCATTTTACATGTTAAAAATGATATTAAAGAATATAAGTAATTATTAAAAAAAATAAGATACGCAAACTGCTTTCTATCCGGATGCCAAACAGTTAGATATTATTTCCAACATTATTTAATTGGACAAAGATACATAAAACTGCAATATGTATTGGTTGTCGCGCACGCGTGTTTATATCAATGTTTATCTAATAAAATGCATTATTTTATTATTATTTCAATCTAAATTTTTTACCCCGTGATGATTGAGTTTCGATCTAAAACGCTGAGTTGTAGTGTCGGTGACAAAATTACCCAATCTTGTTGACACGTCACGAATGTTGTAACGTGATTTGCCTTCCCTTAAATGTAGCTTAAAAATAATGATGAAAGTGTTACAATTAACCCGTGATCAGCTGAAACTCAGATCCACACGAGACACAATATGTTTTCTATTATTTGTCACTAGCGGCCCACCCCCGCTTCGCACGGGTCCAACTATCTCGCTAACAATGAAAGGGTCCCTTTTTTACAATTTCCCCTCTACTTTTTAAATATTTTCTTTCATTAGAACCTTCTCCTGACAATAATAAATACAAAACAAAAGGATTTGGCAAAATTGGTCCAGCCGTTTTTGAGTTATGCGCTTACCAACACATTTTACGATTCATTTTTATATAATAGATATACCGACAGACAAGAGGAACACTTTATCCGTTTACAAATTACACAATATAAGCCATGTGCTCATTCATCGGACTGGTTGTTCCAGTAGATGTTTTGTCGGCAAAAGTGACTGCTGGTTAAAATGAGTATAAAATTGAACACGAGAAAGCAATTAATTGTTTCACTTCCTAAACTTTGGCGCCGCTTACCCTTTTACTTGCCCCTATATAAAAAGATAGACTCACAATAGTAGATACGCAGCACTTGTATCTTGTATGCTGTGTGCTTTGAACATCGCATCTGCAATAAGGCTATCTAATAATGTAAGAATATATTGAGTACTCACTACTTCGCTCCGTGTACCTACCTGCTACCTTCTTTACTTTATCAATTAATATGACAGCTCCACTCTCCAGTTTTTTCAATGTAACCAATTTTCAAAATTATCATAGTATTCTGCAGTTCGACCCCACAGCAAAATGCGCACGGAACAACTCTTTTGTGTTCTATAAATTGTTATTACCATTGTTTTTTTACGAGCTAGGCAAACTGCAATAATACGCTTGGTTTTATTCTCATTTAGCGCAAAGTTTTGCAATTATTATTATTTATAACTAGCTATTATCGCGCGGTTTCACCCGCTGCTCAGTTCCATTTGATCGTAGCGTGATGTTTTATAGCCTAAAGCACTCAGGAACATTGTAACTATCAATCAGTGAATGAATTTTGGAAATCCGCCCAGTGGTTCCAAAGATTACCCCCTACATACAAACTTTATAATATTAGTATAGATTAACACATTAACATTTACATTAATAACGACGGTACCGACAGCTCAGCTTCCTCTCCGAGGCATGGATCATATTTATGTTATACATAGTTGAAACACGTAGTATCTTTTTATTTCCTCAGTCCCTGTTCCTAGAGTAGAAGTCCGGCTTACCATTTACCAGTCGTTCGTCCCTCGGATCTGATTTTCCTCAGTATTTTAACTGATACTTTATATACACATATTTTTCTCAGTCTCTCAGGGTTGACGATGATCGAGCATTTTCAAGCAATGTATGCATTATATGTACGAATCTACGCATGTTGCTATTTCTTCTAAGTAGTTTAAATATTGATGTTTCATTTATACAAGCTAATTTGTTGTTCAAGCATAGTCCTGTAATGGGTGAATTAGTTTTCTTTATAATATCTATTCTAAAGATCAAATAAATTAACTCGTTTGATTTACCAATTAGGTCCTTAAACAAAGAAGTACGATGCTAATGCGATCTTTAAGAAAAATATGTATGTTTCCTAACGAACCTGGAGTAATGCCAAAAAGTCAATATCACATTTATAGTTACCAGTCCTATCAATGTATTCAACTAAAATATCACGAATGACATTGACGTTCAATAACATTTAAAGATTATTGTACATATAAGTTCCCTATAAAATTATGTGGTACATGCTTCATATGAATAACATTTTAAGTTCAAATTTACATACCTAGACGTCGTCAAATAGACCCTCAGTAATTGATTTTATATGTGTAAAGCTTTTTGTGTAAAAAAGTATGGCTGTTATATATGTGTGTCTAAATCGCCTCTGCAGTAAATGTATAGAGACATGCTTCGGTAATTATGTTAATGGAGTTTAACTTCTTATAGTGTTGTAAATTTAAATCATCGACAACATAATCAATTAGCATAGATGCCTTATTACACGCTATAAATAGCATTGACGACTAAGGATCGGGCAAAGCGGTAATAAGTTATTTGTCAAGCTCATAAGCGTGTATCTTAGTTCCTTTAACAACAACAAATTAAAGCTGCCAGGTATGTGTTGGTTTCAGTATTCGACTTGTATGGTGAATGATTTGCAATACGTGGCCATACCATTGACCTAATATTTGGTTCAGTAGCTCTAGACATAATTCATGCTGAGAGCCTACAGGTAATGCACCTGTTCTTGTTCTTAATTTTAGATGCGTAAATGTTTTCTTTTTTAAGTTTTTCTCAGCCCTAAATCAGAAGCAGCTTTCAACAATAACAAAAGAATTTAATTTTCTCTTACGTAGTTTTCCCCAATGAAAAACAGTATCGTTATTCTGCTCCTCTTTAGAAATGTTTAGATTCAGATGCAATAAAAACCTTCATTAGAAGTAAATCTACTTTTCAGATGTACTATAAACCATCATCGTTAAACTTAATAACCAAACTACAAAGTAAAGGTAACTACTATAATTTACAGGTGTTATGAACCGATACGGCTATTAACGTAACGATATTTTTATTCTTAAATCTGGTTACAAAAACCTTCTATTTGAACCGATCTTTTGAAAGCTATCAGTACACAAATAATTTAGATTTTTTATTTTACAATATTAAATAAATGTTGGAGACGCGCTGCATATTTTATGTCGTCGATGGGTTAAGCAGTTAAGTTAGTATTTGTTTATTATGCTGTTGACCTAGCCATCACTCCATTTCATGCTTTTAGTTCACTACCACCATGTTTTAGCGCTCCTGTGTTTCTGAAGAATGCCCTGACGTATGGCAGTTCTTGCAAAGCTATTCACCTGTACTTCGGAAATTATGTATCATCGTTGTTCTTAAGTCTGTCATGTCGAATTCATCACATCAATTTAAAACAGAGACCTGTCCAACCGGTAGAGTATTTGTTAAGTTTGTTAGTATTATATTTTAAGTTGTTGATTGGTTAGTTGGAGAGCATGCGCAAGGCATTTGTGTTAATTAGTTACTAAAGACAGAGTTGGATAATACTAATAAAAAGCTTTTGTCACACCAATAGGAATCCAAGAAAGGATTTATTACAATACTGTGTTGAGTTCTACTACTACAAGAGACGCCCGCTAGCTGCAACTGTGCGGAGAAACGAAGTAACTCTTTGTAGAAGGAGAAGAATAGGGCCAGACTTGAACTAACAAAGGATGATGGGCACAGATGTGTGGAACCTGGTATCGATAACAACGGTAGTTTTCTATAGAACAGGAATAAAGTGATAGTCCTGCTTTGTTACTGGTGATAAAACATTGTATCTACTTAAGAGCACCTTTGAATGAATATACTAGTTCTGAAACCTGTCTAAAGTTTATGTGACCAGAAGCACTGAATTTTATATCATAAACTGCTACAGTGGCCTATGAGCTTAATAACTTATTAGTTTTAACATATTTAGAAGCTTACCACTATCACAAGCATATCATGTACAAAGTTCATAGAGGAGATTGCTACTCTTATAAACGTAAATGGTGGTTCATACCATAATAAAACAATGAATTTAATTTTGTACATGTGCCATAAAACGGCACTTTTACACTTCAAAATTAAAATACAGATAGATAAAGCCATTGTAAGACACTTGGCCAATAACAGGTACTTATATGTTTATCCTACCAATAAATCCGAAAGTTTGTAACTTTGGATGGAAGTTGTAATGTGTTGTTTCTCTTTCACATAAAAACTTTGCAATGTATTTAAATGTAATATGCCACATAGATAAAAAATAATATGGAATAACATATGGATTACTTTTCTCCCCGTAACGCAGGCGAGGCGCTGGTAGGAGCTATGTAGTAAAAGCTAGTAAAATTACACAAAATTACTTTAAAAAATGCTTTTATTTTAATATTTTTAGCTATGTAGTTATATGTAAATACCTATTACAAATAATTGTGTATTAAAAAATGTGTAAAGTATGATTAAATTATTTTATTTAATACTAAAACAATTTTTCACTTTACGTCCAGTA